TAGTGGATTCCTTGAAAATGTCAAATGATATAAAACCCTGGTAGTTTTTTGCTGCTGTTCTGTCATGGGGGATGTGGGATGTAAAAAAAAGTAGACTGTGTGAGTGTTGCAAGTTCTCAGTTGACCCAAAGACTTTTTCTACCACTGCATTTATTGGTTGCATATTTTTGTGGTCGTTGACTGAGTTGGCCTCAGTAAAGTTTTCTTATGCCATTAGAACCCTGGATGGAGACTCTAAACTATAGACGTTTGGACCGTTTCTGAGACTGGGTCTTGGTACTCTTTCAGTTTCTGCTATTTCATTTTTAGAAAATGTGAATGTATTACATTTCCTCCCCAATCCAGCCAGCTTTATTTCATTAAAATATAAGCCCCAGTTCCCAGCAGCTGTAAGGAAACACCCCTGATTTGTGGGTTTTCACTTCCTGGTTTCACATTCTACCATGTTAGCCCAGCTAGTCCGTTCTGCAGTTACAAGACTCATAGCCAAGAATTCTTCTTAGGAACATTTAGACATGGGAGGCAGTGTCTCTGGAGTTGCATTGCCTAGTTTGAAATCCTAGGCCCTCTACTTACTAGCTATAAGACCTCTGGTAAAACTCTCAATCTCAGTGCCTCCTCAGACTCCTTGTGTGTACAGAGGGTGTCAGTGATCTACCCCAGAGGTGTAATGTATGTGTAATTGGGGTAATACCTGTAAAGTGCTTAGTAGTCTCTGGCATATAGTAAGTGCTCAATAAATGTTAGGTGCTATTATTTTATTAAACAAAGGTGGTCATGAATGAAGGTGGGTATGGGATCTAGTGAGAGAATTGAGGGTGTGGTTACTTTGCTGTGTGTGTGCCTTTGTCATACATGTGAATACATGCTAACACATGTATATCTCATGGCTGTCATACAATATGGCAATAAACTAGAGATGTCTTGAGTATGCCTTGTAAAATCTGCCTTAGTCATACCCTTTCAGTAAGCCATGTGCACATACACACTTGCATGTATGTAGATAAAATTTGGGTTCATCTGTTCCTCAGTTATGTGTAAGGAGGTACAGGACCCTGCCTAGAAGATGTAAGCAGTGATAAAGGATGGTGGCAGTGGAGTGGCACTAACGTGAATGAGGAAAACATCTGTTTCTCTCCTCTTTGTGGCTTTCTAATATAGATTTATATTGCTGGCCATTATCAGCACATATATTTGATTTTTTCAAGTTTTTGTTGTTGTTGTAAAAATATAGGTAACACACATTTACCAATTCAACATTTTTTGCCCGTACAATTCAGTGAAACCAATTACATCAATCGTGTTGTGCAACCATCACCAACATTCACTGCCACATTTTCCATCCCCATAAATAGAAACTAAATGCTAGCTAAAGAATGATTCTCCTCTTTGCACTTTCCTCCTGCCCCTGGTAACCACTGTTAAACTCTTTATCTCTATACATTTGCCTATTCTAAGTGTTTCTTATTAGTGAGATTATGCTATATTTGTCTTTTCATGATTGACTTGTTTATTTCACTCAGCATAATGTTTTCAAGGTCCATCCATGTTGTGGTGTGTATCAGGACTTCATTTCTCTTTATGGCAGAGTAATATTCCATTGTGTGTATAGACCACATTTTGTTTATCCATTCATCGTTGATGGGCATTTAATTTTTTAAAGGAAAATTTTCTTTCAAGGCCCAGTTTATTCAGTGGACAAAAAGCCCAATAAAATGTGTTAAAACTTATGTTCATATGGACTGGGCTCTGAGCATGAAGGTAGTAGCTCAAAGTAAGGGATTGCAGACCACAGTCCTTGGGCAAGTCATAGATTCTTTCTCCAGTTCACACTAGCTGTTGTAAGTAGATGACATTGTCATCACCTACCTCCTCGAGGCAGGTTAAGACTCTAGCAAACATCAGTGAAATGCTAGAAGAGGGGGAAAAATGGCCGATGACATCCTTAAATTTCTTTAAATTTAAGGTGGACAAAGGCAACTGAAATTCTTCTCCTAGCTCCAAACATTGAACTGGGTTATAGGTTAAGTAGAACTGGCAAAAAAAAAAAAAAAAACTGAATCAATGATAGGCAGAAGTTGAGGCCGGGAAAAGCAGCGGTGAGGGAGTTTAGGAGGTCCCTTTAATGAGAGAGGCATGGTGAAGATCTAAGGTTGTGACCAGGCAGTGTTTCAGGAGGCAGTTAAGTATAAATAGCAAAGAATTTGGGACAAACGGGGGGTTAAATTGGTTGGTCCAGCTTTGGAAAGAGCTGTGAGCTAAGCAGACTGCCACTTACCAACTTTGTGACCTTGGGTAAGTCACTTAGCCTCACTTTCCTCATTTGTAAAATGGTTGCTCATTTTGGCTCTTTTTCAGTTTAGCTAGTGTGGATGGCAGGATGAGGTAGGGTAGTGGATATCAGAAGTGCTTTAGAAGCTATCCCGAGCTATCCTGCCATGAAGGGGAATAACTTTTTGCTTGGGGTCTGATCAGGGGACACTTTCCACCACTGAGTACCTCCTCTGTGCCCGCTGGAGGGTTGACTTTTCTTGGTGCTGTCCCTTGGCAGCATGCTTTATAGGATTTGATGACTAACTTTCTTAGAGGCTTTTAAGAAATACTGACTGGGCCGGCAGAGAGAAAGTCGTGACTGCATCCTTCCTCCTGTTCCCAGGCAGGCTTTATGGAAGCGCAATTCTGTTTATTCTGTTCCAGGTCCACAGTCTGCTGGGTTAGTCTCTTCTGTAAGGATGTATCACTCCTCCCTTTGCTATTTGTGCAGTGGTGGGCTACGTAGTACTTTCTACTGAGGGTCTTTGGAAAATAAACACACGACTAAGTTTTTTTGTGGTTTTTTAGTCCCTGGATAGTGCAAACGGTTAACATGTTCGGCTGCTCACCAAAAGGTTGTTGGTTCGAGTTCACCCAGAGGCAGCACCTCAGAATAAAGTCTCGGTGATCTGCTTCTGAAAAATCAGCCATTGAAAACCTTATGGAGTGCAGCTCTACTCTGACACACACGGGGTCGCCATGAGTCAGAATCAATGGCAACTAACTGGTGGTGGGTGGTGTAAGTTTTTTTGGCTTCAGCTAACACTGTATCTTCAGATGTTGTTTTCAGGTCACTTTGGTCAGGACTTTGGTGACTTCCGTGGTTGTGAGTGTTGGTTTTCAGGCATTTATGTCGTTTTGTTTCATGTTGTTCAGATTTATATCTGTAGAGTTCACTTTCTAACATAACATCTAGCAAATAAACACTCTTAAACATCTTAAGGGGTATTTGTGGAGGCAGGCAAGTTGCAGGGGGGTAGGAGAGGGGAGCCAAGATAGTCTTACCATCTAGACTTTCTTTGCTATAATGAGAAATCTGTCGCCTTTGTGACGCAGAGGACTTGATTTGACTTACAGCATGTTGGAAGCCATGGAATGGGGATGGAGTTGTTTGCACTGGAGTACCACTCTTATTGACTTCCCACCTTGGAAAAGCAAGTTGGGCTGGCCCTTCTGTCCCTACTTGGGCATGCACTCCTCTGCCTGCTGACAGCGCGGTTAGCACCTGGGAATTGGCCTGAGCATTGTGTGTTTGTTCTTAAGACCAAGCGGCTTGTGATTTTGTACGAAGGGGTGGGATGTGTTTGTGTAGTCATCAGAGATGTGATTAGCTGAGAGATTGATTCTGAACTTCTGTTCTCTTCCCTCTGTTCGACTCTGTTCTTCCTTAGAAGTGATGTATGGGCAGAGAAAAATGGAACACAGAGATCTAGGCCACTGGCCTTTGAAAAACATTGATCAGTGAGCGTATTGGATGTGGCAAAGAGCCCTTGCCCTTTGTATGATGTCATGCTGTTTGGGGGCCTCAGTGTGCCCTGTGATCACACCCACAGGGGCTTCCTTTCTCAGGGAAAAGATTAAAAAAGAAAAAAGAATCCCTGTAGGCAGTATCCAAAAATAATTTAAACATTTCTAAATGTGTTTCTTTTAAGTTGTTGATGCCTTTGGTTTTTCAGCCTGTGTTGGCATGAGGGAACAGCATGAGGCAGTCAGCCATGAGCAACAAACTTCTGAGCAGTGTTGGTCTCACTTCATATCTCCCGTCCACCTCTCTCTGGCTTGGGCCTACACTGTTGTGTGTCTGCCTGTCTACATGTCTGTCTCTCTGTCATACACACACACACACACGCAAACACATAAGTGTTCTTTCTTCCCACAATGCACATCTGTGGTGGGGATGTGCTGTGGATAGTTGTGTCTGGACTTGAACTAGCTCTAAGTCAGGACCTCCGAATTGGGCCACACTGGATGAGTGTGGTGGTGTCACCTTGAATGTCCTCTGGTCGAGTGAAGCGTGGTCCTGCCTTTTATCGGGATTTGCCTGGGTTGGTTCTGTGTAAGCAGCCAGGGCTGTTAATGGATCCCTTGTGACAGAGAGACAAAGACAGAGTGGATTTGTTGAACTGCTGTGGGGCGTTTGAAATGGTACCAAGAGAAGGCTGAAATCTAATTGGCCTTTGCTTATCAGGCCTGAGTTCTAGTATGTTGAAAGGGTGATGATTAGTAATAAGACGGCCAGGATACTTTATCTTTTCCTTTGCACATTTGGGGAAAATTTCCTCTGCCTTGGCTAGCATTAGAAGCAGACCATTCTCTTTTCTCTACCACATCATATCAGCTTTCATTAAAAATCAGCAGCAGCAACTACAAAGCTCCATCCATAGAAAACCGTTTAAGGCAACACTGTGCTCCAGTGCTTCAGGGGTGGGGTTTTTGCCTTCTGCACAAATGGATCAGTTTTTCATATTCATGCCCCTCTGACCCAGCAGCTTTTAAAAGACCAAGAAGCATTGCTCTGCTTTCTACTGCCTCTCCCTACAAGACCAGGGCTGCGTGCCTCTAGCCATTTCCCAGAGAGCGTATTTGAGACAAGTCAGCTTACTTTGCCTGCATGCCTAGGAAGCCTCTCTTTAAAATATTATTTTGGGAGAAGAACTGTATCTAAATGTTCTGCTTTTCCCATCCAGGTGAACGACGGAGGCGCCGATGCCAGGTGGCGTTCAGCTACCTGCCTCAGAACGACGACGAGCTTGAGCTGAAAGTCGGTGACATCATAGAGGTGGTAGGAGAGGTAAGTGAGCTGGGCGGAAAGTGCGATTGCCATGCGTGGGTGGTCAGAACCCACCAGCTTCCTGAATCAGGAGGTGCCCGTTGCTATAGATTCTAAAGCTGTTTGGCCTTGACCTGTTGGATGTTAGAACTCGAAGAGAATTTATAGGTCATCTAGTTGAGTCTCTTCTCTGAGGAATTGGGTTCCCAGAGAGGAATGTCTCCAGGCCAGTTGGAGGCAGATGTAGGGCCACTTAAAACCATTGTCTTGCTGACACAGCATACTATGTATCTCTAAAATTCCAACCCAGTGCCACAGATTTTTTTTCCTATCGAATCACTCTGCTTCAATTGATACTAGACTCCAGATATCCAGAGTGATCCATATATAGAGTATGGATTCCGTGTTCATTCTGGGCAACACCACTGGATTTATTGGGAAAGAAAAGAACTGATATTTCTTAAATGTCCTAAAAGGCCCTAGTATGTGACAGGCATGAGCGAGACTCTTTGCACGCATTAGCTCATTTACTCATCACACCCACTTTAGTTTGTAGATGAAGCAACAGGCTCAAGGGAGCCTGAAGAGGCAGGGCTGATGACTGAAGCCAGGTCCATCTGACTGGAGACCCTTGCTCTTTCCACTGTACCACGTTCTCCTTGTTCCTGTTTGGTCCTGGATACTCAGAGCCAGTCCTCCTGGTGAAAAATATCCCACCAGACACTGGGATGGGCTTCTCAGTCTGCATTCCCTTAGGCCTGGATGATGCTGGGCCTTGGACTTAGAACCTGATCATTTATTCTGATTCAGCACTTGTAACTGAATATAGAGATACCATTTTCTTACTGCTTTCAATTCCTGAATAGCATTTGACCTTACAGAAGCCCATGATTTAGAAAAAAGGAAGCTAGAAGTCAAGGAGGAATTTCAGTGAACTATCACATGGGTGGAAGTGGCAGAGCTGATGCTAGAAGCCAAATTTCCTGACTCTCCTGCAAATATAAAGTGAGCATGTGTCAAAGCTTTATTTAACTCATTAGGGAGGGACTCTGCAAGATGGTAAGACTGACTCAAAGAGAATTGTGAAAGAGTAAAGTATTTCTAGTGACTGAAAAATAAAACGCTTAAGATTGCTAAGTTAGATGCAAAACTACTTAGTGTCCTGCAGGGCAATAAAACTGTAACCTATGAGATTATCTTTTCCAGGGGACAAATCTCTATCAGTCAAAATTTATTTGAATCACTTTCAGTTTTCTACCAGTTAATATCCACACGAAGAGTTGTAAACTATCCTCGTAAATAGTAAATAGTATGTGAAACAAATGTACATGTCCCTAGAAGATCAGTTAATGGCATTGGGGGCAAGGGAAGGACTGCTGGACAATGCCCAACATGGCACTGGACATGCAGAAACCCCTTTTGCCTATTTCTGAGTTTTGGCTAATTTATATTAATCTATCATTTATCCTTTTTCATCCCTGGTACCAAGCAGGGCACATAGGAAGTATTTTCTGAAAGGTGAATAAGTAAAATATAAACAGACAACAGGGTAGAACATTAAAAGTTTGGTCTGATTTGAAGCTAGGATAGCTAAAGTAAGAGAACAACAAATAGGATTATGACAAAAATTATATATGTAACATATTAAAATATATTAGGAAGCTACTGTAACAATGGTAAGTGATAGGTAAATTTGCCATAAACGCAAATCTCACAAAGGGGAATAAAAATCTTAAACGTGAGAAAATGTTCTGCCCTGCTATTAATTAAAGAAGTACAAATTAAGATAATAATGAGTTCCTCTTATGTACTAATGAAAAGCCTAAGAAAATATTTAGTGGTAACAATGTTGGCAAATTTTAGAAAAACTGGTGACTTTGTATATCTGTATGATTGTTATATAAAACTATTTAGCAAGATGCATCGAAGAAAAAAAAGAGCTGTAAAAATCTGAATAACACTCTTTGACCCAGTGATCACATTCGTAGGAATTGATCTACCGAAAATGGTTAACTAAAAGTAACCGTAATATAAAAATTTGTGTATTGTAATTTGATAATCCAAAGAGCTCAAGCTGTTTTATAATTACCCATTGCTGTAGAGTCAATTCTGACTCATAGCAACCCTATAGGACAGAGTAGAACTGCCCCATAGGGTTTCCAAGGAGTGGCTGTTGAATTCAAACTCCTGATCTTTTGGTTAGCAACTGAGCTCTTAACCACTGTACCACCAGGGTTCCATTCTATAATAATCTCTCCAAATAACTTTGGGGTAAACACTTCTGATTTTCTAATGTGGAAAGATGGTAAAAACATTCCTGTTAAGGAGAGGGAAGCTGTGTTTAGGAGTAAAAGTGATTAGATTGAAACCACCAGTATACAAACCACCAGCATACAACCAGATATAACTAACATCTTTGCAAGTTTAAGTGCATTTATAATAGATTTGCATAGCTATGGGATTTATCAAATATTTGAGTGCTTACTCTGAAAGAAACTGTGTTTATGGAGATTCAAAGATTTATTGAGCAGAGTCTTGGCCTTGAAACGTGCTCAGTCTAGTCAGGGAGGGTAAGATACACACAGCTATGAAGATAACTAAGAACCCAAGATGTTCTTAGAGTAGGGAGTGGCAGTATTGACAAGTTAGAGAGGAATTGAAGAACAGGAGTACTCACTGAGAGTGAAGAAGATGCTTCCTTGAATAGGTGAACTTTCAACTGGACATGTGAAAGGTGGCCAGTATTTGAATTAATTCATCAACAAGCATGTGTTGTATTGTACAAGGCACTGGGTGAGGCTGGAGGAAGGAGGACAGAGGTTAGTACAGCTTTGCTCTGCAGCAGGAGGTGACCTGTGAAAGTTTGGGGGCAGATGTGGCGTGTATGAAGCAGAAGCTGGCAGATGCAATGAAATGGGCTGAGATGAAAGTTACAAAGCTGCCCACACTGAACTTTAAAAAGAAACACCCCATTAAAGACTCAGTTATTTTCTGATTTGAATTTTTTGTTGAGACCATGTGTTTTCATTAATGGAAGGCATGCTGAATCAAGGAACGTTTCTGAAATTTTGTTATGAAATATAGATTTTGATACATATTATGTGGGGTACATATATCCTTCTGAACTCTGGGGTAGGATTATGTGGGACACACTTGTCACTCTGGACTCTGGGAGGTAGAGGTATGTGGGACTTATATGTTCCTCTGGACTATCCATTGCCTTCTAGGTCCCTTGACAGGTGCATACAATGTATGGCGCCTGAAAATGCGGTATTTGTGTGAACATGGAATCATCGTAAGAAACGCAACTTCCCAATAATGTAAAGGAACCCGGAAATATTCTTATAAGGATTATCTTGCTGTACAAAAGCCAAAAGAGACAAAAGTTTTACACAATCACATCTCCAGGGTGCACCATCTAATAATACCCACCCACTGCAGTAGAGTTGATTCCAAATTGTGGGGACCCTATAGGACAGAGTAGAACTGCCTCGTTGGGTTTCCAAGGCTGTAATCTTTACGGAGGCAGACTGCCACATCTTTCTCCCACAGAGCGACTGGTGGGTTTCAACCGCTGACCTTTTGGTTAGCAGCCTAGTATTTTAACCACTGTGCCACCAGGGCTCCTTTGACCAAATATAGTACCCTGTAAAACACAGTAATTTGTGGCATGTGCCGTTTCTTCAGTTTCAAACAGCATGTAGTGTCAGTGGGAAAGCAGCTTCCCAATAAACCTGAGAGGTGGAAAGTGTAGGTGGGCGCTATATGTCTCTCTGGTCATGAAACGGTTAAAGGTTCCTTTCATATCATAAGAGGTTTTCTAAGGTTAACATATCCCTATAGACAGCATTCTCACGTGGGAATAGTGACAGGACAAAACTTCAGGATTTTGATTCCTCAGAAAGATTATCTTGCTGACTTGATTTACCATTTGTTCACATTTTCAGGCTGGAATGATAGTAAGGTCTTAGCATTGGGTCATATAGGAATTTGGGTATCTGTACACTAGCCTGTAGCTGTTTTGAAGGACAGGAATGATCACGGCACAGCATGTAACATCAAGCATTGCTGAAGGGTGGATATCTAGAAAAGCCCTACACAAACCCTTTATGCTACAGTGAAATCATGGCTGTGATGTTGGTGTTCTGTCCCATTGGGCAGAGTTAGCCTCAGTCTTGAATAGAAATGTTTTCTTAAATCATTTCCCTTTGAATTACCCTAGAGATTTCTCTTTTGAGGGACCCATCTCATGTGGAATAGGTTCATTTTTGGAAGAACAAGGGAGGGGAATAAAAAAAACTTCCTTGTGTGTATGGAATGTTCTGGCCCTGCCAGAAAGAGGTAATCATACAATGAACTACACAGGAATTGGGGGAAAATATTGGCCCAGGCACTAAGGACCCAGATAACGCTTGTTTATATTTGGCACAGCCAGCTTCCCTGATCCTAAAATCAACAGTGATGATTATTTAAAGCAACTAAAATGGAAAATAATGTAGGTGTTTATGCCTTCAGGAATTGTCCCCTTAAAAATACATGTATTTGCCCATCAACAGATGAATGGATAAACAAGTGGTACATACATAAAATGGAATACTACTCAGCCAGTAGGAGAAATGAAGTCTCGACATCTGCTACAGTATGGGTGGAGCTTGAAGACATTACGCTGAGCAAAATAAGGCAATCCTAAGAGGACAAACATTGTATGACCTCACTTATGCAAAAAGACAAGAAAAGGCAAATGTATAGAGAACAAAGTTTATCAGTGGTTATCAAGGACAGGAAGGAGAGGGAAAAGAAAGGTTAAAAGTGATAGAAAAATTGCATCAATTAAGGGTAAGGTTGAACATTTGATTATTGTAATTGCTGTCAATAAGTTGTACACCTGTAAAAAGTTGAATTGGCAAAAGTTGTACGATAGATATATTTACAGTAACAACTGCAACAAAAAAAGAGTAGCTGCTGAGGCTGCTTAAGTACAATCAGACACCTCCTGGGATTTGGTTTCTTGGTTTGGAGGT